TGAAGGGTCTAGGCCAGAAACGTCAGCCTTCCTGCTCCTCTGGTGCTGCTTGGCCTGCTGTGTTCATCCAGCTCTACACCTTGCTATCTCTTTTCCATCTCAAAGTAGCTTTTACTGCAGAGGGAGCCGCCTCTCTTTTTTCCCCCCAACTATCTGAGAACCAATCACATCATTAGCAGGGAGAAGACGTTTTGTCGTTAATAATTTAGGCACTAGTTCACAAGCCATCCGCTACCAAAGCTCTATTTCTACACAACCCTTTGACTCCGGTTCATCTGCAACCTCTGTTAAAAGCCACAGCTATGCAAACTGTTTGCAATGTGTATCAGTATTTGCTTTTAATCCTGCAATAAACCTTGTAACCCCTGGTTTTAAAACTGTTCTTCTCTGATTTCAGCCCACAATTAAAATGACACCATAAAAAGACACCATCTTCGCACAAGTGGTGTGTTCAACATGGAGTATTGATTCATCAGCCAAGGAACAGGCAAAACATTGTAATCAGGAGGTTTCTGTGCCCATGTTGAATCTGATGTCATGAAACTCTGTATCTGGAATCAGTTTTGAGGACTCCATGGCAACTCTGTCCTTCTCCTATACTGCTGTGTCATCACCTCTGCTGGTTCTGTCTTGTGGTTTGGTCATGATGGGTTGGTCAAGGATGGTGGGAATATTGTCTGAGACATTGAGTAAGATATGATTTCATGTGTATGACTGTTGCATAACTAATCGGAGACAGCTCTCCCAACTTTGTCAGTAGCCCCAAGATGTTGGTTATGAGTACTTTGCATGGTCAACGGGGCTGAGTTTTCTGTTGGCATTTTCAGTGCATGTCTGTGGTCTGTCCAGTCTCACTTATTAGGTTACTTCTTTTATAATGCATTTGCAGCTGTGATTTAAGCATCATATACACATCCCCTATGTATCAGACATATACAGTGGATAGGAGGTTTGTAGTCATTCCAAGACACTTCTCATGGAAACCAAGGAAGAAGTCTGTAAGAACTAGTCGACAGAAGATCTCATGGTAATGCCATCTTTTATCCTCAACCATACCACCAAAAGCAGGCTGTCATTAATTTTGTTCTGTTCGAGACACTTCTTTTTTGCTTTGCAAATTCCAACCAGTTCTTAACATTTTCAATTTGTGGTGAAACACTTTGGAATATTGTGAGGCTGTGAAAGATCCTATGCAAATGTATATTAAACTTTAATCTGCAAGTACTAAGTATATAATAGAAGGTGTAGTAACTGGGCACCATAATGAATAGGGAGCCTCATTATTAATACATCTTCAAAATGGTCTAGGGATTTTTTTTGTAAGAGGACTTGCAATTAACATGATACCTGGAATAAGTTGTTTTTTAAAATTTGGAACAAGATGCAAGGGGGACATTGCAAAGCCAATGAATGATGGCACCACTTTCCAGGTGACCATATTATGCAGCAGACAGGTGTTTTATGTTGGTTTATTTGAATAGCCTTCTCTTATTTTAACTGGCATTGAAACTAATCATCAACATAAATCAGATAATTACTTGCATTGAAGTATACCAAACAACAGTTTCAGCAAGAAATCTGCCTGATTTTTGTCCGAGTTTTTTTCAGGAAGTAAAGTTCTAAGTGAATTGTGAAAACATTGATACATTGTAACTAAATTCCCTCATTTAAAAACAGTTGGCAGAATTCTACGTGTACAGTTGCTAACCAAATCCAAAGTAATAAGATTCCACGATAAAATCAGGTATTCGTCTATGAAGTTGGCTAGAGGCAACAGATAATGAAGTGGGAGAGGGAAGGATAGTGCTGAGTGGTGGACCCAAGGAAATGCCAGATTCACAAGTTTTAATGTTAGTGACACAACTGGAAAAATTTTGATAGTGATTTGGAGGTGTTAGCAAGGGGAAAATTTGAGCTTTGAATTTCACCATAGGAGCACAGTTGTATTTCTCCCGCTCTTGTGTGAAGCGTCACATTCCGGAGAATGGCTTTTGACTTTAGGACGACAATAGTACCTGCATTGAGAACAACCCTAAAACACCTAAGCAATGCCTTAAACTGTTTTACACAAGGAATTGTTTTGAAAATGTCTCACTGAACATCATGATTGTGTGGTTATATTGCACAGACTAACACAAAACTTGTTATTCATAACTGCGTGCTTACTTTGAAATCGCTTTTTTGTTTAAAAAGCCAGTGGTTTGAAGTTATCTTGGATGGGTGAAATTTTACATTTTTTTGTGAACTGCAGTTGTGTTCGGGTGTTAATAGGGTTAGCTTATCTCTGTTTACAATTAATTTCAGCATGACTTTAGAGAGGGACGAAATCAACTTGGATTCTTGCAAGCCAACATATTTTGATCTAAAGTACATTGTGTATGATTCTTGTACATGATGCCTACCACAGGTAAATTGTCTAACATTCACAATCTGCACCAAGGAATGAAAAATGGTCACAAAAATGGAAGTTACTGGAAAAGCTCAGCAGGTCTGGCAGCATCTGTGGAGAAAAAAAGTCAGTTAACGTTTCGGGTCCGGTGACCCTTCCTCAGAACACAAGTTGACCAAAACCTCAATTTCTCTCATCATCCAGCATTCCCCTCCCCTACTAGCCTTGCCTTTCACCCTAACAGGAACTTACTGTCTCCGGACTCTCATTTCTCATTTTGAAGGCTTCCCATTTTCCAGCCCTCCCCTTTAGCTGTGAGTATCCGCCCCAGTCAACTTTTGAAAGTTCTTGCCTAATACCGTCAAAATTGGCCTTCCTCCAATTTAGAACCTTAACATTTAGATCCAATCTATCCTAATCTGTCACTATTGTAAAATTAATAGATTTATGGTCACTGGCCAGAAAGTGCTCCTCCACTGACACCTCAGTCACCTGCCCTGTCGTATCTCCCAAGAGTAGGTCAAGTTTTGCACTTTCTCTAGTGGGTCCATCCACACTTAACAAATTCCTCTCCAGCCAAGGACTAAACACTATGGCAGTTCTAGTCTATGTTTGGAAAGTTAAAATCCCCTACCCTAACCACCCTATTATTCTTAAAATCAACTGAGATCTCCTTACAAATTTGCTTCTCAGTTTCTTGCTGACCATTGTGGGGGCCCATAGTATAATCTCAATAAGGTGATCATCTCTTTCTTATTTTTCAGTTCCACCCAAATAACTTAACCGGACGTATTCCCAGGAATATCCTCCCTAAGTACAGCCGTAATGTTATCCCTAACCAAAAAAATACTCCCCTCCACTCTTGACCCCCTACCCCCTTTTATTATCCTTCCTTGTAGGATCTATACCATGCAACAATAGGCTGCCAGCCTTGTCCATCCCTGAGCCACATCTCTTTAATTACTGATATCCCAGTCCCACATTCCCAACCATGCTCTGAGTTTATCTGCCTTACCTGTTAGGCATCTTGCATCAAAATAAATGTAGTTTAATTTTTTAGTGCTACCTCATTTCTTGCTTTGTTCGTGCCTACCCTGTCTGACTTGCTCCTTTTCCCAACTATACCAGTCTCAGGCTGAACTCTGTCATTGCTATCTCCCTGGGTGCCAAAAATACCACGCGCGCGCACACACTCCCACTCACTCACCCACCCACTTACTAGTTCAACTCCTCCCC